ATCAGATCTATCATACATCCAAAACGGAGACCAAAACCAGCAAGTGACCATACCACAACGACCAGGACGACGAGACGAAGAGATCGCCGCCAGCCGCCGCCGCACGCGCCGCCACGCGCCGCCGGAAGTTCGCTGCTGCTGGGTCTCTCTCGAGCGCATGAGAGCGCGAAAGCTTTGTTTTCCGATCGGTCAACGCCATTGACTTCGCCGTGACGTCAGCTTTCTTGATTGGTCAAGTTTGTTCGATTCCGAGAAGATTTGATTTGCGGTCATCTGTTCGGGCCAGCCAGATCTACATAAATTTTAAGCAGTAAGTTTTCTTCATCAAACCTTTAGATCCGCTGCGCATAGGTTTATGTTGAATGTTTGTCCGTGATTTGTGCATATCGAGATCCTCATGGGTTCCAACATACTTATACTTATAACAATACATATGCTTTAGAAAAACTTTGCTCGCTTGGCTTCGCGTTGCTTGCATTCTTTTGAAAAACATTCTTACTATAAAGCATTTGGACAATTGAACTCTTAGCTTGCTTGCTTAAGGACACCTTTTAATCATCTAAGGTTCATCATGATCTCACTCAATGCTTTGCAGATCATTCATGTCACATAAGCATGCTTAATAAACATAAGACTCACTTAAACAATTACACTTAGTCTTTTGACAAAACTTAACACGTGCTGCATTTTTAAAACGAGCATATCTTTCAACATACAAGTCGTATTAACATGATTCAAGTTTCATATTGCTCCTAAGCCATGGTACTACAACATCCATTTAGTACTTAAAAGCAAATAAGGTCATATACATGGTCCAAAACCAGCAAACATTCAGAGCTTAAATGCTGTCCAGAAATTTAAAATAAATTCATGCGCAGTTTTACGAAAACAGGTATCATTCACTACTCGGACCATATTTTTGCTTGATTCCAGAACCACATGAAAGATAACACATAGAACTACAATTTCAGTGTAGACTTCAGGTTCATTTGAGCACATTATCATATCATAAACACACAAAACATCCAAACCTAACTGCAGTCAGATTTAAGAAAACTGCTCGCGCAGTTAATTTTGTAAAAATCATAACTTATTCGTTTTAAATCGAAATCACACGATTCCAAAGCTCACGTAAACACAACTGAACGAATTACATATCATATGAAGAACTCAAAAACCGAAAATAACATCTCAGGGGCCTAAATTGCTTCCGAACAGACAGCACGAAAATGACAATTACACATGAAATCATAACCTAATTATCCGAACTTCTTAACATGTCGAAAGCAACATATAATCGATGATTCTAGGAACGTTTATCACACAATAAGACACAATTATGAACACATAAATTGATAACAATTAACCCTATTCACATATCATTCAATCAATTCTTTCGGAAGCCCGGCAAGGCTCCGACCAATTCCAATTCATCATATTACTCAACAATTATTTACTCGGACCTTAAGCAAGCATACGAGATTCAATTATCAAGTCTTAACACATTAATAATTCTTACTTTATTAACCGAATTCAAATTAACAGTCCAAGAGGGTAAGCAATAGGGTTTTACCGCTCGGAAAAAGGATGACGGTAAGGGTTCGAAAGGGGCTCGAATGAACTTGGCCGTGTACGTGGAGGGGCTGCTCGTTCGTGGAGGAGCTGCGGTGAGTGGCTTCATTGCTCGTCGTGGAAGAGGACGGTGGAACAGGGCTCACGACTGGTGATGTTGAAGGAGCTTGTGGTGGCCGTCGAGGTTGGTGGGCTGCTGTTTGAAAGGATGCTGCGTGAAGGAGAATCACCGGTGGAGGGCTGCTGCGCGTGGAGGTTGATGGCTGACCTTGGCTTCGCGGTAGTGCTTCGTGGACGATGAGGATGGTGGAGGATGATCGATGACTGACTGCTGCAACTGGTGGCGGAGCTCTTCGTGGATGATGATGGTGATGAAGCTCGGCGATGATGATGATGATGATGGACGGCCGCTGGGACGATGGAGGGGATGGTGATCGACGATGAAAGTTGTGATCTTCCTGCTATTTTTTTTTTTAACGAGAGGGAGAGACGAGAGATATGAGAGAGTTGAGAGATTTTTCTTCTTCCTTATTCTGATCGCGATGAGAGTGCCGAGAGAGGTGAGAGAGATCGGTGAGGGAGATAGAGATAAAGGAAAGAGATTTGTAATGTGTGGGGTTTGATACTGTGTTTAAAAAGAACTCTTGCATGATAGAACTAGGTATCTGATAACAATTAGGATTCTTGTTGCTTGGATGAGGGATGAAAATATCGTAAGGTCTTGAGCTTTCATCTGGCTTAGGAAAATTGGACTGTTATTTGAGCTCAATTTATCATCTTAATATTTATTATCTTCATTAATACATTAAAATTATATTAATTAAATTAAATCATTTCATAGTTAATAATTATATCATTATTATTGCATTAATACTTAGGAAAATTAAATAGATGAGGACATATAAATAATTCCCTTTTTAATCATTAACTTGATAAATAAATGAGGGTGGACACTCACTTAATTATCACATAAAATCGAGCTTACAGTAAAAATAAAAATAACTTTATAAATCATTAAATTAAACATAAATAATATCCATGAAAAATAATACTAAGCATAAAATGAATGACATGAGTTTGGGGTGTTACAGCTACTTTCTTCAAATCATCTATACTTTTAAAGATAAATTGAAATTAGTTGGGACTTACCTCTTTGATTTCCATGGAGTGACTGAGCTTCCTGATGTTAGTCATCGTCCAATTGATGCTAATCCAGCTTGCAACTCTATCTCCAATGATCTTGCCGAAAAGACTTCTATGACATTAATCAGCACTGAGTTGGATGTCCTCATTAGCTAAATCTATGAAGGTTGATTCTTTTTCAGAGAGGGAGAAATCACGGAATCGGTTTGATAATTCCTCATCGTGATTTTCTAGCATGGTTATCAGAACCCTAGAAGGGCTGAAGAGCAATTGAAATTGAAGGATAGAATTATGATCTGGGGAATTGATTACGGCAGATTCAAAAAGTATCAAGACGCCGAGGATGATGATCGAAAAGAGGTCAGAAAATGAGGTCGCTCCCACCTGAGAGAATGTCGGTATCGCTCCCACCTGAGAGAATCTTTAGTAACAACTTTAGGGTTTTAAAAAACGTATTTCAGAAATACGCTTTCTATTTCAATTATTTTAATTAAAAAAAGAAAATCTAGTAAAGCGTATAATTGGAATACGTTTTACAATTACTAAAAACGTTTTATTAAAGAATGCGTTTTCAATAAAACGCATCATGCATTTTAATAAAAAGAATAAATTTGAAAAAACGTATAATGAAAGTACGTTTTACAATTTATATAAAACGTTTCATTAAAGGATGCGATTTCAATAAAAAATGCATTTTAACAAAAAATAATTTAATAGAAATGTATTCAGAGAATATGTTTTACAATTAATTATGTAGAAAACGTATTCTCAGAATATGTTTTACAATTAAATGTAAGAAAACAAATCCTCTTCTTCTCCATTTCATTTACTCGTTTCAGCAAAACAAAGAGTAGAAAGCAAGCAGAAAGGGGAAAAAACCTTTGGAAGAAAAAAAACTCGATCTCATCCTTACCCCGGCGTGAATCGACAACACCGACACGAGCCTCCTTTCCGGTTAACTCATTCGCAAGAGGTATATTGACTTATCTCAACTTTTTACATCGTTTAGAGTTGTTTGGAGATTGGGAATTGGTATAATATGTTTGAATGTGTTGGTATTTGAAGATTGGGAATTGCTAATTGCTTGTCGATTATATATGTATGTTGAATTGGAGATTGAAATTTTG